AAAAGAGATTGAAAAATTTGGAAAGGTAGCAGGTTTAAAAATTAATAAAGAAAAGACAAAAATGATAACAAAAAACATGATAACAAAACAGGTAGAGAAATTAGTAAAAGAATCCGGTCTGCAGACAGTTAAAAAAGTTAAATACCTAGGGATAAATTTGACGGCCAAAACGACAACAATAAAAGAAGACAATTATGATACTTTAGTCCAGAAAATAAAGGAAGATTTAGAAAAATGGGGGAAACTAAAATTGTCTTTACTGGGGAAAATAGCAGCAATAAAATCAAACATACTGCCAAGACTCCTTTATTTATTCCAAACAATTCCAATAAAATTAGATAAGAAATTCTTTGATAATTTGGATAAAATAACTAAAAAATTCGTGTGGGAAGGGAAGAAATCAAGAATAAAATTGAATATACTACAAGATGATAAAAGTAGAGGTGGATTTGGACTCCCGGCATGGGATAAATATTACAAGGCCGCCAGTTTATTATGGATTAAAGATTGGATAACCTTAGATAATCAAAGATTGCTAAATTTAGAAGGGCATGATTTAATGAAGGGATGGCACGCCTTTATATGGAGTTCAGGAAATAAAATATATAAACATTTTAATAACCATACAATTAGGAGATCTTTAATTAACACATGGCTACAAATTAAACAAAAACACTACATGAAAATTCCCGGCTGGCTATCGACTATAGAAGCAATAACTCACCCCAACATATTATCAAAACAAAAGATTCTAAGATACAGAGAAATAGTAGATGTTCAGGGGAAATTGAAAACTAGGGAAGAGCTCAAAGAACAAGGAATAGGAATAGACTGGTGGCCCTACTCGCAAATAAAAGTAAGATACAGAAAAGACCAAGAGGAAGAAGGAATAGATTTAAAACAAAATCGATTAGACAAACTATTAGAATCAAAAGAAGGGAAATTAATTTCAAAAATCTACAAATATTTACTCGAATTCGATTTGGCAGAAGAGTTGGTCAAAGGGCAGATGATAGCCTGGGCGAGGAACATAGGGCATAATATACAATTAGAAGATTGGGAAAGAGCATGGGAAGATAACTATAGAATGACAAAATCGGTATCATACAAAGAAAATCATTATAAAATGTGGTACCGATGGTATCTGCCACCCGCAAGGTTAGCAAAAATGTATCCAAATGTGAACCCGGCTTGCTGGAAATGTAAAAAAGCGCAGGGAACTTTTTACCATGCTTGGTGGCTTTGCCCAAAAATCAAAAAATATTGGAACAAAATAAAAACATGGATATTAGAGATAACAAATCACGAAATTGAATTAACACCTGAAGTCTTTTTACTCGGCATGATCAATAAGAATATTAGGAAGGACATAAAATACCTAATACTCCACATTATAACAGCGGCAAGATTAGCGTTGGCACAACTCTGGAAAATAGACCGTTTGCCAACTGATCAGGAAGTAATACAGAAAATCTACGTATGCGCAGAGATGGATAAATTAACCCTAAAATTACAGGATAAGGAAGATTCAAAATACTTTAAAATATGGAATAGTTGGTACCAGTGGATAAGTCAGAGAGAGGGAATGCTTAGAGATGAAAGTTAGGAGAAATTAATGCAAATAAACAACTGCACTGTCAGAGAGATATAGAAGGAAATAAGTCACTGTGTGTATATATATATATATGTATATATAACATTAGAAAGTAGTTGATAGATGAAGTTGAGCACTATATATGTATAGTATATGTACTTGTAATTTGTGTGTTTGATTAAGAAAAACTTGTTCAGTTTTTCTTATAATTGTTTTAAATGTCCTTTTTTTAAATACGAATAAAGTTTGTTTAAAAAAAAAAAAGCAGTCATAGGACATTTCACTTAATGACTGTGTTGCTTTGCAATGGAGTTGCTGTTTCCCATTAGATTCATTAATTGATGACTACCTGTACGCCTTAAATTGTATGCCCCACTTCCTATTTTTTCTATATACAGTAGTTGCTTTAATTCAATTTAGCAAATTCTAATTTCCTTATTTAAAGTGAGATTTGAAGTAACTTTGCAAGAGTCCTCTGGATTGAAGCAGTACTAAAATGATTTTCTCATCAGTTTAGATACAGCAGCTAATTATGACCAGAAAACAAGGAAAAAGAGAAGAAAACATATATAAAAGCAATTGCTAAACAACATGAACATATAGCATGTTCTTAAGCCTTCATATCACAATTTAGAGCATCAGATTGTTATACTGTAATAACCTCATAGTTTGAGATACTCAGTGCACAGATTTGTTTCCACAAAGATTGCTGTGTGTCTGATTAAAGGCTGTGCTGCATATCAACTTGCATAGAACAATTGCATGTTTGTAGCAATAGTCATGGTTTAATGCAGTAGTACCTACTATGTGCACAACTCTTGAGAGAGAGAAAAGAGATTATTCATAAAACCTGTTTCTCTTAATATTTATATTGATATTAAAGGTAATGAATCACACTGCAGGCTCATCAGGGAAACTTACTACCGCTTCAAAACTATGTATTAAAATTCTTAAATGTACCTGATACTTGAAGATTTACTCTGGTAAATAAAATGCTGAAATTAGGTTTGATTCCTGCAGCAATGACTGATAACTATAAAGAACTGCAAATTAGATTCGCAGTACTTTGCTCTCATCCTAATACTGACTTAGTTTTTCGCATATCACATTGTGCCATTTTATGGTAATTGTACATATTCATCTGTAATAAAAAAAAATTGCAGAGAGATCAACAAGTACATAGAAGCAGCTGAATAGATATTGTGGTTAATATATGTATAAATATGGAGCCACTGAGGAAAAAAAGTCAGCTTCAACAGTGGGAAACATTTATTTATTTATTTGTTAATCACATGTATAAGCCATGCAACTCAGAGGACTTTGGGTGGCTACAATTAAAAGCACAACCAATACAGGATAAAAATAAAAGAGGCAATAAACTGTAACTAATATAAAAATCACCTGACTAAAGAAGTGGGAAATGCACATGATTCCAGAGGGCAGGCACTGTGACAGAGAAGGCAGTCCCATCAGATGGCACTGTTTTAAAGATGGGACCTGGAGCATGTGTGCTCTGTCATATCTTATCAGATGAGCAGATACAATAGGAGAAATTTGGTCCACCAGATAATCTATGCCATGGAGGATTTATAGGACACCACTAGCACTTTGAATTACTTCTCTCACTTGCAGGTTTTTTTAAAATCTAAAATTACCACTCGCTACTTATATTGTCCCTCAAACCCTAAGCAAATAATGATTTTGATTATTTCTTTTATGAAACATCAGTTTCAAGAAAGTTTTTTGAAAGTCAAAGAATGCAATATATAAAATCAGGTAACTAGCAAGTTCTCCCTCTATTGCATTGTGTTGTGATCATCAGTGATCCTGTACATAATGCCCTCTTCTATTTTGTAAAAATGAACAAAATCTTTTTCTTACCATTTGCAGAAGTTGGAACCACCCCCCCCCCCCCGCAAGCCTAGCCCTACAAATCTTACCCTTTACAAATACAGCTGGACTAACACAATGACAACAATTGAACTAAGGGAGTTACTAAGTATTGGCACCATAGACAGTTCCTGTATTTTGGCTCCTGGAGTTTCAAAGTAATCTAGTGTGAAACTATATCAGCTCTGTGCTTGAAATAGGCTGTCAGTTGACTGCTGCAAAAGAAATGACTTCAAAAGAAAATTGTCAAGGTTAAAATAAAGATATACCTCTTTAAACAACAAAGAAACATGCCCATTGCCTTTAAAACACAATTTTTGATATAGTAATTGGGTATTTTTTGTTAACTATGACCTTCCCCATGTAGAAATTAATTTCTACAGTTTTTGCTGTACCTGGATAGTGTTTAGGAATTACTAGATCAAGGGAATAGAGAATAGTTTTTTAAACTTTGTTTTGTTATAAACAATAATGTCTTGGTGGCACTGAGGTATTGTATTGGTAAAGCTTGAAATCTTGCTGCACAGTAAGAGGAGGAGAGCTGTTTTAGTCTATAATGCTAGACAATCAGAAGGAATCTGATGAGGTAACCTGCAACTTGCACAAGATTATGCCATTAATAAAAATCTGATGGGTGGAAAAGATGCTCCTTCTGATTTTATAGCTAATAACCTGATATTATAATTTCTGCCTGATGGTAAATTATTACTGAAATGAAGACTCTTAAGTCTTCTGGACAAATATATATTCACAGATAAAGCCTTGTTTGTGTTTTTAAAACCCTCATTTAGATAAGCACTACAAGTCTGTTTGCCAAAGAATTTGCAGTGGAAGTAGCTAAGGATGTACAGGTTTAGCATTTCAATGCTTTATTTATGTGTTTTTTCTCAAAACTGAAAAAACTGAAAATTTGATTTTAGGTTTTGATGATCAGACCAATTTTGTTATTTTAGAAATTGCTTGAAATGTTGTGAAATGTAAAGCAAAGGTTGAGGTTGTAATTTTTTTGCATTTTACTGCACTGAAAATTAGAAATTAAATATGTTTCCCCCTTGCACTTCTCTCTTTCCCTTAGTTCTCTTAACTATTTTCTTTTCTGTTTTTAATCTTATAATGAAACCTAATAAAATATGTTTTTAAAAAGGAAAAGATTATGTTGTATTACATGTAGAATTTTAGTAAATCTGTTGTATTTGTTCAGTTAAGACTGAGATCTAGCAAATAAGCAACTATTAAGCCTTTGTATTCTTTCACAATGAGCCTATCAGACTTCAACCAAAAACAATATATGGATGTGTTTGTGGAGAGGGGAAAATGCCAGTAGCACTGTCCTTAAAGTGTGATTCACAGGAAATAATAGGTCAAAAAGATACATTAAAGGCTCTGGTAGGAAAGAAATGGTACTGTGTTGTTAATGGAAAAAAGCTTGGCAAAAATGATGTTGTGACTGTTTCTGTGGCTTGGAAAGGAATTTCCTATAGCCCAGAGTAACCATTAAATATGTCTCTGTTTTTAGTTCATTAGGGCTTTCTTTCCCAGAGAAAATGTCAACTTCTGCCATGGAACCCCAGTCCCTTGATGAGAGAGGAAGTTTTTTTAAGGTAACTAAAGTATTGGTACTTATTTCAAAATGTATGTCAATTATCTGCCCACTGCTTTTCGGTTTAAGAATTTGGACAGATCTATGGTGAGAAAGCTTTTTTATATGGAAATGAAAGTTGGGTAAATAGATTATCTGAAATATAAACAGATTATTTAAGTGTGTGTAGTAAAACAGGAAGAGACAAGGTCAAGAATGAATGGGAGATGAATAAATACCAAAATGAATATAAGGTAAGTAATTATTATGAAATAAATACACAAGCATGGTTTCATCATATAAAGCAAATATGTGACAAATTGCAAAACAAAATACATTAAAATGAGAGCAAATGAATTGATAGAAACAGGAAGACTGAAAAAATCATTGATGGATGGAGAGCCTCAAAAAAGAAGCAGGAATGGTTTGCAAGGATAGAAGTGATTGTTGAATGGTATTGGGGTCCCCAAACAAAATAACATTATGATTATATATTTACATTCTCTTGAAGGTTTCTTTTGTTGTTGTTTTGGTGCCTACATGTCAGTTTTGACTTTTGGCAACTGCCTGGACTAATCCCTGCAGTTTTCTTGGCAAGGCTTTTTGGAAGTGGCTTACCACTGCTTCCTTCCTAGGGCTAAGGGAGAGTGACTGGCCCAAGATCAATCCAGCTGGCTTTGTGCATAAGGCAGGACTGGAACACAGTCTCCCAGTTTCTAGTCTGGTACCTTAACCACTACGTTAAACTGACTCCTTTCAAAGTCTGTTCCATACATTTCAGAAGTCACATATAACAGATCAACTGTTTTTCTTGTACAAAATTGTAAACAATTATATTCTGGTACACTTTCATATGTTTGCTAATTTAATTGGAGTTTGAATTTGGGGTCTTATGTGTATAAAGCAGTTACTGAGTTCTAGGCTCTTCCTTTAAAAAACAAAATTCTTTGTTATTCTCCTGAGTGGCTGCATTTGTATAATAGAGGAAACCATAAAGTAGACACATTTTAGTTTAGCATGTTGGGTTTGACTTCAACCTTTGGTTAATTTCAGATGTATCAAGAAGATGGCATTATTAAGCAAGCCAGGATTGTCTAGCTTCCAGCAGTCATATTTGCAGCTTTCAGAATTAAGCTGCTACAGATTTTGTTCCCAGGCAGATTGAACAGTGTTACTATGTTATTTGACTTAAAAGAAGTTAATGGTTTGTTTTTATTATGGAAAGTCTATTTCTTTAAATCCACTTCAGCTGTGGAAATAGTGGTTTATATTATGGCAGTTGAAGCAAATTCCTGTGTTTGGCAAGTGGATAGAATTGCCCAGACATATAAATAATATCTTTCATAAAGTGGAAAAAAATAGATTGCAGACTGGAAAATAAGGATATTTGGGAGCTGTAGTTTCCTACCCTTGTTTCACTCCCAGCAGGTGCAGGAAATGGATACCATCTACTATACTAGAATTTAAAACCTATGTTTTGCTATCTCAGTATTAAAATAATACTACAAAAGAGCACATATGTAAAAGAACAGGAGGTATATGTAAGATGCAACCATTCCATTGGCAATATAGTTTTGCTTGCTACTGCATTTTTAAAAACTTTTTTTTGTTAACATTTATTGTACAATTATTGTATACCACCAATATGCATGGCTGTTTATTACAGTACCATTGGATAATGCCAGGCCCCAGCCAACTGAATGGACAAATTCCTGCCATCTTTAGTGTAAGTTTCTGTTGAATGATCCTAATCTCAAGGGAATAGTCAACTTTTATTTCATTAAGGATCAGATGCTGAATGATCCCGATCTTTTTGCAGTTCATGATATCATCATCATTATCATCATCATCATCATCACCTCCAAAACCATAATTTATAGGTGTCTATCTTCTTTCTCATAACTTTCCTGAAGTCCAATTTAATGCCATACATTCATAAACTATATCTGTTATGAACTTTCCTCCCTATGAGTAATATTTTTACTTCAACACATTAATCATCTTTATATGTTCTTGAGTCAAGTAAAGGGAATTATCGACTATGTTCATTTCTTTGTCAATAATTGCCTTCTGATTTACATTATCTTTGTCTTTTTAATATTTAATCCAAACCTAAAGTTTTACTTTCCATTTCTACACTGATAATAAATTCCTCTAAATCTTTATTATGACTTTATGGAATAGTTCAAATTGTTAGTGTTTCAACTTCCATTTTAGATGCCATCTGTTCAGTCCTGCCATTCTTGTATTTGCTGTATAAGTTAAACAGGTAACAATTTGCACTTATCTTATTCCCTTCCTTTCAGAACTATGTTTCTCTGAATTCATTTCTTAGAATGGATTTCTGATCACTATAACAAAGTGTCAGGTGTGCCTCCCTTCAGTACTCAAGAAAGAAAAACCCCCAACTCCATTTTCATAGAGAAAGGTACTTTTACTGAGTATGAACTGAATGCAACCGAAGAAAAGTCTGAGGCAATAGGCGCGAAAATCACATATAGAAAGCATCCTTAAAACCCTCCCCCCAATCGTCCAGTCAGGATTATCCAATCCACATCCCCCCCAGGGGTCATGTGGGGTGCAGCTTCTGATGGTGCCATCCTCCTGGTATGCCAGGACAGTTGACCTTGAGTGGTTATCAGCGTTTTTTCCAGCTGCATAGAAAACGCTGAGGAAAACTTTCTCCCCTCTTCTCCACCAGCTCACTTCCCCCCTCCCAGACATTCAAACAGCTCCCCCCTCCCCCCCTTACAATGGCAACTGAGCAATCAAGCAATAAAAAGGCGGAGGCTGACACAAAGGATAATCTGATTTAATCAAGAAAAAATAATCAATTATCTTCCACATTCCATCTTGATCTATACAATTAAAATCTTTCTCCATGCATGTTGTAAATGTAATTTGTAAAGAAAACTTTGCTGATGTAAACAATTATTGAAATAGTATCCAACTTTTTCATTGTGAGTTTATTTATACCTTTACCAAATTCCAGTACAAATGTATTTCCCAAGGACTCTAACAAATGCACTAATCTTTGCTAGGCCGTGGTTTTTTAGGTTAGTATTTGTTTTTATCTAACTGTTACATTTTAATTTCAACTTTAAACAATTCACAGGATATTTCATCTACAAATAGTGCTGTTTTGTTTGATAGCTGGTTTAACAGCTGTATCTCATTTTCTAATGAATCAGTTCCTGAATGTGTTAATTCTCTACAAATGTTTCTGTTGTTTTATAATCCTGTTTATAAACAAATTCAATATAATCATTTTATTTTAATTTAACTTCATTTGCCTCTACAAATGATTGTGTGTTTTGACTTTGTTTGGTTGGCAACCTACTCTCTTTAATTGTCCAAGTTTAGCATGCATTTTTGCACCTTTCATTTATTTTCTGTAACTTGGTGGTTAGACTGTAATGCTGCATATTCTAGCTCCTGAAGTTTATTTGATCCTGTTCAGCAAAGAGCATATGTAGAGTCTCTGTTTATATTGCTACAAGCAAAAATGTCCTTTAAAATTCTATTATCCAATACTGCATTTGCCTAATCCAGGGGTGGGCAACTGTGGCCCTTTTACAACCTGTGGACTTCAACTCCCAGAATTCCTGAGAGAGCCAAGCTGGCTCAGGAATTCTGGGAGTTGAAGTCCACAGGTCATAAAGGGGCCATATTTGCCCACCCCTGGCCTAATCCAAATTTTCTTGTGATCCTGTGATATTTTAAACACTATGTGTTATTGTTGTACCTTATGATTCTTGATGAACGTATCTTTTCTTTTATGTACACTAAGAGCGTATGCACCAAGACAAATTCCTTGTGTGCCCAATCACACTTGGCCAATAAAAAATTCCATTCCATTCTGTTATTCCCTTCCTTCAGTCTCACTTCTCCATGATGTAAATTAAAGTGGATGACACTGATACCTTGACAATAGGAGAAAAAAAGCACCACTCTTCCTATGTTATCTGTGCCATGCATCATTTTATGAGCTTCTATCATTTCTCACTTTACTTTCTTTTGTGTCAGGCTAAAGAGTCCAAATTGCTCTTGTGCTCTTTTTTTATTACAGGGAAGCTGGTACATGATAATTTGTTTACATTGTTTTGCACCTTTCTTAGTTTTATAGTCTTCTATAGATCCCAGAATTACGTATAAGTAATTCTTGATTTACAATCATTTTTTTAGCAATTATACAAAATTACAGTAGCACTGAAAAAGTGACCTTCAAGTGGTCCTTGCACTTACAACTCTTGCAGCAATCCCACAAAATCAAATCAAAACTCTTTGGGCACTTGGCAACTGGTGTGTATTTATAATGGTTGCCGCATCCCAGAGTCACATGATTGCCATTTGTAACCTTCCCAGTTGAAGTGATTCACTTAACAACCCTGACAAAAAATATTATAAAATCGTTGTGAATCACTTAACAACTACCTTTTTTTTTTTGCTTTAATTTATATGCTGCCCTTCTCCGGAGACTCAGGGCGGCTTACAATGTGTTAAGCAATAGCCTTCATACTTTTGTATATTTATGCAAAGTCAGCTTATTGCCCCACACAATCTGGGTCCTCATTTCACCTACCTTTGAAAGGATGGAAGGCTGAGTCAACCTTGCAATTTGGGGTTCAATTGTAGTTATAAGTGGAGGACGACCTTTATATCAGATCAAATCAAAACCTTTATAATGGCCTTTAAGTTAGATGAAGAATTGTATAGAGTACTTCAACTGTGGTCTAAAAATAAATGTGTAGTGTTGTGCAAAATTTAGCCTTTCAGGATGGAACATTCCAGAGACGTCTGATTTATTCTGGGGTCAGTTTTACAACTTCCAAAAGTATATCTTCAGAACTACGGTATTTGAGATGTCCTAAATATGCTGCCCTAGACAAAATAATCCCCAGTTTAGAGGAAAACCACCAAACTATATTCAGAATAGTCAGAATAGTCTAGAGGGAAATTGGGATCTTTGAAAGAGAAGTTAAATGTTCCAGAGTTTAGTGTACTTTGCATATCTTTTTTGTA